TGCTATCCTATCAATATGGGCCAACATTTCTAAAGAATGCTTTCAGCACCTTGTTGAATCAATGCCACATAGAATTAAGGCAGTTCTGAAGGCGAAAGGGGGTCAAACACCGTATTAGTATGGTGTTCCTAATAATCCTTTAGGTGAGTGTATATCCACATGCAAGAATACCTGAGAAGTATACCCGAAAGTGGTTTTGGGTTTAAACCTTAACTATAACAACAAGGTGAAGTTAACTTCACATTCAGTTTTCTAGCCACAATATCTTTCAACAAAAGCAAGCAACAAACCTTGGTTTTCCATATTTCTTCATGGGCCGAATTTTAATTAATATTTCAATTTTTCTATGTGCGGCTCACGTTCAATAAGAACATAAGAAATTTACAAACGAGAGGAGGCCAATCGGCCCATCAAGCCCGTTTGGGGAGAACTTAATAGCTCAGAGTTGTTAAAATCTTATCTAGCTCAGATTTAAAAGAACCCAAGGTTTTAGCTTGCACTACACCAACAGGAAGAATATTATATACTCTAACTACACGCTGTGTAAAAAAAGCGTTTTCTCAAATCCAGTTTCAAAGGTTCACCCGCTAATTTCCACCTATGGCCATGACCTGGAATCATTCTTGTAGCCCTACGTTGAACCGTTTCTAAGGCAGCAATGTGCTTTTTAAGGCAAGGTCACCAAAACTGCACACAATATTCTAGGTGGGGTCTTACCAAGGAACTGTATAATCTTAGCATCACATTCTTTGACAAACAGCCCAGCTGTCTTGTTTACAGTCACTGGCGGTGAATGGACACAGTGCATGTGTAATAAATACACATACACAGCAAAAACACACATAAAATACACATGGGGGGAGACAGGTATTCAAATATATTCGAACAAATTGCGAGACATGTGAAATTCATTCAAAACTGATTTTCAATAAAAGTGACTGCCCTACTATACAGACATTTACTTACGCCCACAAGCATATTAGCATGATAAGCATATTAGCAGTACAAGTAAAATATTAATGAGGCATATTGTGATGCTCAAAAGATAGCAATCTGTATAAATTTAGCATCTTTATGTTTATTAAATTGAGTTAGCTTATAGCTCATAGAAGCGTTGAGCATTGAAGTTGTGGTGAAGAGAGGGACAGCTCAGCAGCCGGAACATCTTTTAAGAGTGGATATTGTGTATAAACAAGGTTAAAAGGTGTCAATGGTGTGGCGGTACTTTTTGGAGTTTAAAGTCCAACATATTTTTTTCATAAATATTTGGTTATATTTCAGTTAACTAATTAGTTTTCATTTTTGTTTCAGCTTAAGATAATAACACTGGTCCCAGCAAGCCAAAAGTGCACAAACATATACACACTGGCAGAGTCAATCAACAAAGAATAAGCCCAGATCCTAGCCTAAACATTTTCACAACCACTTATTCTAAGGTGTCAGACAGGCAACTTTATGATGAGTGTATTTAGCAAGTATAAGGACAAAAAATATTAAAATGGTCTCCATAGTAATGGTAATTTAATGAACATAAATGTAGGCAAATAATAGGCAAAGCACCTATGGTGATTTTGCCTATTTTGACGGTCTATCAACCAGAATCACTCCTGTGCGTTTTATGTTCAAGAGCTTCTATATAGTGCAAATGTTACTGTGGTGAGGCATCAAAACTTTGCATAGTCTACAAACCACCTTTTTCTTTACTGATGACTTGAATTACTCCCTAAAAAAACAATATTGAAAAGCATTTGTTATAATGAACTCAAGCCTTTCAGAAATATGAAAGGTAATTTCATGAAAATAAAAATAATGTATTAATTTAAAATACTGACGTTTATTAAAGCTAAATTTATAATAAAATACATGTGTACTACTTGTAATAGGGCTGGGCAATTAATGAAACCAGCATTCAGAACCCCTAATCGATGTGTTAATTTACTGTTTTTTTTTATGCTGTTAAAATTTTATTTATTGTTAATATTGTCTACATACATACATACATACATACATACAGTTGCCTCACACCTCTGGGACCTGGGTTCTAGTCTCCGCCTGGGTTACGTGTGTATGGAGTTTGCATGTTCTCCCCATGTCGTCGTGGGGTTTCCTCCGGGTACTCCCGTTTCCCCCCACGGTCCAAAGACATGCTGAGGCTAATTGGAGTTACTAAATTGCCCATAGGCGTGCATGTGTTAGTGAATGGTGTGAGAGTGTGCCCTGCGATGGGCTGGCACCCCTGTCCTGGGTTGTTCCCCGCCTCGTGCCCGTAGCTTCCAGGATAGGATCCGAACCCCCCGCGACCCAGAAGGATAAGCAGTTTAGAAGATGGATACACAGACACACACACACACATATTATATTTATATTTATATATACACACACACACACACACACACACACACACACGATATTTAACCTAGTAAGTCAGTAGCCTAGCCTTCACTTAGGGCGCTTTTCCACCGCACAAAGTACGGTACTTTCGGTACAGTACTTTCGCTTTTCCACTGACTTCTGGTCGAGTACCAGTACCAAAAGTTCCAGTACCGAAAGTGCCAAACCAGCTGGGGTACTTCTTTGGTACTTCGGGGTGGGACTTACAAATGTATTTGCTGTCGTTTGGTTATGCAAATAGCCTGCCGCTGAAACACAAAATACACAGAGCGAACAGCAAGAAACAAAATAGAAAGCAGTAGAAACAAAAATATAAAAAAGTAAAACACACGCGAAACACCGAACAATGCTGCTTGAAAATCAAAAAACTTAAGCAAGACTACAGGAAAGTGAAGGATCATAACATGTTTCAATTTACGCCAGTGGAAAACAGACACAAAAAATAAGTACCATACTTTTGATACTTTATGGAAGTACCGAAAGTACGGTATCTGGTGCGGTGGAAAAGCGCCCTTAGTCGCATCATCTTATAATAGGGTAAATAATTTCCATATAATATTCACCAGTGTACGTTGTCAATGCACATCCTGGTTTTTGACTAATGAAAAGTTTCCAAATGATGAAAATGTTACCCATAAAATATCAAAGCCCAAATTTTCCCTTTCTAATTCAGTCCCTGGTTTAATTATAAGACGTTGTTGGAGTATACAAATGTGCCTAGCAAAACAATACCAAACCTTTGGCAGGTTAATCCTCTGCATTAGCTAGCTAAACAGCTAGCTAGGAAGGAAATATGAGTAAGATCTATTATTTAAATGTGACTGGGTCATCATTCAACTAATTACTTTAGAAATTTACAGAGTAATATTCAAATTTAAATACACAGACTAACATCTTCATCAATGGTCTTTCTTTGTTGCTCATGACATTGGGCATTTGAGATGTACCCAGGGTACAACCACCACCACAAATACTGGCAAACATACACACTATTTATGTTGTGCTGGTTTCCTCAGGACGTTCAAGCTTGCTCCCACATTATAAATACATGCAGTCAGGTGACTTGGTGTCTTTACATTCCAAAAAAGTGAGTAGGAGCGTGTGTATGAATGCCCTGTGATGGGCTGGCATCCTGTCCAGGAAGTTTACCTGTCTCATGCTCTGTGACCTGGTACAGGATCCAGGCCCTCTCTAGGGACCATGTATTGGATAATGCTTGCAAGACGGATGGATGGATGAATGAATAAATTACCTTAAACACATCCAAATGAAGGTCAACTTGTTACTTATGTGTTGTAAAAAACCATGAGGCATAGCTGACATCGGTGACATACCAACGTCACAAATATTAGGTCAATGTTTTTACACATAAAGAAAAGATGCTTTGACTCCAGCTACAGACTGGTGTTGCTAGTATCATATGGAGTAATCAAGATAATTCCCCCAAAGGTGGGTTACTGGGTAACCAGTCAAAGCAGACAGCACTGGCAACAACTTTGACAATCATACCTACTAACTAAACACATTTTACACAGTTTGAACTAAATTATCCTGCACCATGCCAGTCATACAACATAAAACTACTGTATACCAGCAGTAACACTGCACTGCACATACACGCATCTCTAGAAAGCAGACCAGACCCTCCTGAGACTTCAGACTTGCACGCTTTCTATTGTCAATTTCACTACCGTCTGTAATACCTTATCCTTACTGTATTTATCTACAGCATGACGGCTCCCCCACAGGGCTGACTCTTTAAAACGTGAAAGGGTTAAACGGTTTTCAAAACAGTAGTACGAAAGCTATGCCAACTGCCAACTCCGAGAAGCCGGAGCTGAATACGGCCGGCCCTCACCCCATCCCGGAGGCCGAAGCCCGATTTCCGCACCATGGTCTCACGTTAACGCCGGTTAAAGCCCGAGCGGTACCACCGGCAGATCGTTCACCGAAACCACACACACCTGCTTAAGCCGAATACCTTTAATTCACAAGAAATACCACAAGAACTCAGAAATAAATGATACACCACACACGGCCATTTAAACTAATCATACAGATAACTTAAACTTCATATCTATTAGCCAGTACAAACTACTGGTTACCTTAGCATTGCTAAAGGACTAGCGAGCGGTACGTGGAACTCACATTTCTTCAGCCATTTCATCCAGTGCCGCACGATTAGGTTGTAGTGCTTCTTGTTCTCTATACACCAAGCAGACAACCCCTGAATGGAGTCGGCAGTGTTTGACACTGCTTGGAATCGGCGGTCCAGAGAGGATTTGAAGGTTGCGGACGAAGCGCTAGCACAGCTCTCTGCTCCACTCCCGGCCGCCATTTTGGCCGCGCAAGCCAGCCACGCTGCGACTGGAGACCGAGGTGCAGCGAGCCTCGGCACACATCGCACACCGGATGTGCTAAACCGTTAACATAGTACTTAAGCACCTGCTAAATAAACAAATATTATGAGGTCCACAGGTTTTTAAAGCTTTTCTTAAACACTCTTTCATCTATTGAACCTTCGTAAACGCATCAGCAGGAAATAAAACATATTAGACTGTCGTACTTGTTTGAAGTCTAACATTATAGGAGAAGAAAGCACTAACCATTAAAGCTGTGTCCTCGTATTACTTATATATTCCTATCATCACTTGTACGTCACATTGGACAAAAGTGTATGCCAAATAAATGAATGTTAATACAATGTAAATCCTGTTAAGGGTCGCAGGGGGCAGAAAATGGCATAAGGCTGGGTTACACTCTGGGCCAGATGGTACTCCATATACACACACATTCACAATCATACACTGTATTTTACTATTTTTAAAATGAATTCCAACACTAGAATTGTAATAAAACAGCAATTACGCAGCCCATATGCATAGTGGTTCATCAGCTATGACTATAGATTTACACCTCTAGGATTGTATGTTTGATTCCTGGTCTCTGACTCTGTGCACGTGCTTGAAGTTTGAACATTCTCCTCATGTATTGGCTTCCTACCACAGTACAAAAGCATGCCATCGGCAGAACTGGTGTCTAAATGGCCCATAGTGTGAGGGTGTATGTGCTTCCTGGGATAAACACCAGGCTCACCGCAACACAGGAGAATATGAAAAATATATAAGTAATATATAAGTATATAAATATCTAAGTAGTTTATTTATGTGTGTGCAGTGCTGCTTCACACTTTGATTTTCTCCAACAGTTCTTTATTTCCATTATCATTCCATCCATCCATCTTTGAACTGATTATCCTGGTCAGGGTCATGGGCCATTATAAATGTTCACTGACAACATTTATAACCTGTCATCCATCCATTCACCCATCCATCCATCCAACCGCAACCAACCAGCTGGTTATCCTGTTCAGCATCAAAAATTAAAAAATAAATTGTTTTGTTAATCATGACAAAACATGTGTCGAGATTAACGAGATTAAGGATTTTGTAGCCTTGCATTAGGAAGTTCTACCATAACGAAAAATATAAAGTTTTTGTGGTAATCGCGCTATTTCCCCTTTCAAGTTTCCGTACACAAGTGGGAAGTCAAGTTACGGTTTGCATGGTTTGCATCGATTACCCTAAATTTGGGGACTACAGTAATAAAAATTCTAAGGTGTGTTGACTCCAAATGGTACCGAATATGCCGGCTGTGTTTTGTATGTTGTGATATAAAAATGTAATGAGATAGTGAATACTCCAGCAGCACGAAGACACACCTCTTCCATTCCCAGACGTCTCACGAGATTTTTTTTTGCTGGAGTCATATGACATTTCTTCCGGGATCCTGGGCTTCGTCTAAAAAGAAACGCAAGTTAGCAAAAGAAGCAAAAAAGCTTGAAATTGTCATTATCAAATATCATATCCAAAATATTTAAACGGAGGAAAGGAAAATATCTGCTAACAGTCAAGATTTATAATTGGCTCGCTTTGGTAAAATACTGAGGCACTAGAATTTTTTTTGTTAATTAGTTGCTGTATATTGTTTTTGGTAACTAAAAAGTACGGATTGTATTTGAACTATATATAACGCTTAGCCGATTAGTGATAGAGAACCAAATAGCGATTTGTCATAATCATTTGTATGCGCTACATTGAGAAGGCGAGACAAGCGTAAAAATATACTGTCTATATACTGTAAAAATCTGGCATGTTGCTGATCAAAAGGGATATAGCGAACCGCTAATCGTTGTTTACTTAGATATACATTTATCGGTATCTGTCTTGAGATTTTTATTTAGCATTTGAATAAATATCTGCGTCAGACTGTCTCCTGGGCTTATAGAACAATTTTCATCATTCATTTGGCACTTATAACTCAGATGTAGGAATTATGTCGCAGTATACCAGTTTTCCAGAACCGAAGGATGATCAAAATCCTTTTCAGGTAAATATATTATACATCCAGGAAGTTATGTCTAAAAGCTGTTTTAGTTTGTAACATACATCATTTGATCCAGGAATCTTGCGTTTTGCTTTTATTTTCATGTTATGAAGATACAGATCTGTTTGTAAGCTTTGGGCCGGGAAATTATTTTTGATGTGCATTATAAGAAGTTCCACGTTTCAGTCTTTCTATTTTATTTACTCACTTCCTGTAGTTTAACTGAAAATGATTCTTTTGCTGTTTCGTCTGTTATAATACTGTACAATACACAGGAACTGAATTAGTCTTAACATTAGTTTGATTAGGAGCTAATGTTGAAAATTTTAAAATGTTTTCTCAAAGACTTAGAAGTGTTGGATAATGAGATGGTATCACGCGTGTCCATGCTTCCCAGGACCCTGCACTGACCCAGCACGGCAGCAACACAGAGTATGCGACTCTAGACCTCTACAATCCTTTTGAGGACAAGCCGATGGTGAGATGGTGCCTCAGTGCATCTTTGCCATGCATTGCCGTCTAAGAGACACTGCGAACACCACAGGGTTTATACAATTCTGCAGGTGTATTGCAGAGAGTATGAAGGCAACCCCTCTTTGTTTGTGTAGTGACCCACTTCTCCTCATTGTGTCTGCAGCAGCCTCCACCTCCCTACTCTGCTACAGTCCCCACTGCTCCTCCTGTTCCAAGCCAGGCTCCGCCCACCCGGATCACGCCCACGGAGTCCCGCAACTATGGCTCGTACAGCACTCAGGTGCGCCCCCTGTAGAGCTGTCAGCTGCCATTGTTTGTTCAATCAACAAACATTGTTTAGACCAGTGTTTCTCAACCCAGTCCATGGGAGCCCCCAGACAGTCCACATTTTTGCTGCCTTCCAGCTTCCGGCAAAAATGTGGACTGTCTGGGGATCCCCAAGGACTAGTTTGAGAAATACTGATTTACAGGGATCGTGTAAACAGGCTTTTTTGGGCACTGTAAAAGGCCTACCCTTTGCTGTCTTTACTTATATGGTAGGAGTATCAGAAACAAAATTCATGATTTAGAGGCTTTTATTTCATCAGACTCCTATGACATTTTAGGAATAACTGAAACATGGATGAGTGACAATGATGAAGAATATAATATGGATGGTTATACGTTGTTCCGTAGGAACCGGATAGGTAAGAAGGGACGTGGTGTAAAAGAAAACTTGCAGGCAAGGGAGCTCACTGATAAAAATAAAAGTACAGAAGCTGTATGGATAAAACTAGATGCTAAAAACTCAAATGCCTAATAGTTGGTGTTTGTTATAGAGCACCTAATGTAACTGTAGAGGAAAGCAGAATGTTATACAATGATATCAGGATTATGAGTGATAAAAATTATGTGGTAGTTATGGGTGATTTTAATTTACCTGGGATACAGTGGGACATAGTCTCTGGCACTTCTGTAAATGAACTTGAGATGGTGCAATTGGTACAGGATTGTTTTTTACTCAGTTTGTTAATACCCCTACCAGGGGAAAACCCCTTCTTGATCTTGTTTTTCTCTATTAACCAGGATAGGATTGGAAAATTAGAGGTTTTAGAACCACTTGACAAATAATGGTCATAACATGGTTAAATTTAAGGTTAATTTTAATGTCCGAAGAGCAAAGTCCAAAACAAAAATATACAGTGTTAGGAAGGCTAACTTTTAATGGTATGAGACTGAAACTAGAAATTGTAAACTGGATGAAGTTAAATAACAAAACTGTTGAAGAGGCATGGGAGTTTTTTAAAAGCACATTGTTGCAAGTGCAAGAGGACTTCATACCTGTTTCCAGCAAAACTAAATCTAGGAAACTGCAACTAAGGTGGTTTACTACGGAAATTAAGAATTAAGTCAGGAGGAAAAGGGCTCTCTTTCACAAATGGAAATTATCTAACGATTTCAGAATAAAGCAGAAGTATCTAAGTCTACAGGTTGAGTTAAAAAATAACATTAGACTCGCTAAGAGGAATGGAGAAAGGAAGATTGCATTGGAGGCTAAGGATGACATTAAAGGTTTCTTCCAATATTTAAACCCTAAAAGAGAATGCTATTTGAACATTGATCTTGATTTAATTAGTGACTGGGCTGATACCTGGCAGATGAAATTTAATATAGACAAATGTAAGGTAATCCAAGCAGGGAACAGACATAAAAAGTACAGACATTTTATGGGTTCCTCTGAAATAAAGGTAGCTGATTATGAGAGAGACCTTGGTGTGTATGTTGATACTTCCATGGGGTAGCAATTAAAGAGCCCAATAGGATGTTGGGTTACATCTCTAGGTGTGTGGAGTTCAAGTCAAGGGAGGTGATGCTAAGATTATACAATTCCTTGATAAGACCCCACCAAGAAAATTGTGTGCTGATTTGGTAGGGCTACAAGAATGACTCTTGGTCTTAGGGGAATGTCTTATGACGAGAGATTATCTGAACTGAATCTGTTCACCCTCGAACAAAGGAGACTAAGGGGGGACATGATTCAGGTATTTAAGATTCTAACAGGTCTGTATGCTGTTCAGCCAAATACTTCAATATTAGTTCAAATACAAGAACCCATGACCATAGGTGGAAGTTGATTTGAAAAAGCACTTCTTTACACAGCGTGTAGTTAGAGTACGGAATATGGCATAGTCTTCCTGTTAGTGTAGTGTAAGCTCAAACCTTGGCTTCCTTTAAATCTGAGCTAGATAAGATTTTAACAACTCTGAGCTACTAATTAAGTTCTCCCTTAACAAGTTTGATGGGCCGAATGGCCCCCTCTGATTTGTACATTTCTTATGTGCAGAATTATTAGGCAAGTACTATTTTTGGACATATTTTTTTGCAAAAGTTTGGCAGACTTATAGAAATAAATTCTGAAATTTTCTTTTGCTCCAAGTAAATGTATTTAGAGAGAAAATGTTACATATTCACAAACAAGAATAAAAGAACAGCACTTAATTTTCAGTGTGCAGAATTATTAGGCAATCAGAAACTAAGTGGATTTTTCTCACTTCATCAACAGAAATAACAATAGAATTGTCTTATTCAGTCTATATAAGGAATAACAAACTTCACCAAGTTTATTGTCCTGTATGGCCACCTTTCTTCTGAAGGACCATTATGAGCCTGTTCACCATTGAACCGGTCAAGTTTTTGCTTTAATCCCGTCCTATTTTAGCTACGTCAGTTGGGACCGCCTCCCAGACGCTGCTCTGAGAAGTGTACTGCTTATCATCTTGGTAAATCTCATACTTTAGTCTGGCCCTGTAGCTCTCAGATGTAGATGTAGATTCTTTATTTGTCACATGTAGTTATAGCTGCTACAACATACAGTGAAATGCTTTTTCTGGCAAAAACTACTCCCCGCTGTGCTATACATACAAAAGGAATAAGTACTAACATCACAGAACGATAAAGATTAAGTGCATATAGTACATATAATACACATAAGTATACATAACATAACATTGCACTGTGAAAGTATAACTATAAAGT